TATAACGTGAATCGCAGTATACCAATCCAGTGATATAATTTCCATAAACTTTTCATCATCGTAAATACACTTGTGCTCTTCTAACGAGTCTGTGTCTTCTTTGCCAAAGCTCACTTTTATTAGTAAAATGTGAAATGCGAAAGCACTGCATTTATATAGGTGAGAGATGAATCAGAAATAAGCGATTCAACGACGAAAATATTCTGAAGGGACAAAAAGCAATGTGTAAAAGTGTACGAACAATTAAAAAATAATGTTAATGCCGTAAAGCTTCTCGTTACTACTGTCTCGCAATCTGTACCTCATGCTCGTTTTTTTTTTTCTTTTTTTTTCGAATATATTTATAAGGAAATGCAATAACGATGAAGATAAAAGACACTAAAGGCGCAAAAGCCTTATCTGTTTTTCGACAATAGAGATGCAAAAGCATTATGCTATCATTATATGATAGTTGTTCATTCTTCTTTTTCGGCCTTTTCGACATCTTGCTTCTCCTCACCCTCTACAATATCACCACCCTCGAATTTTGGGCCTGGTGCTTCATCGCCTTCCAGAACAATTTCCTCTGGATCAGGCGCGCGTGGTAAAAAGTCCTCATCTGGATACATAGACTTGAAAATGTTCTTAGCCTGGAAACAAAAAATAAAAATTCTAAAGAATTATGTAGTGCAATTTTAAAAAGTATCATTTATCAAATTAGTTTTGAAAAATTGATATTGTTTTGCAGTAAATATATTTATTATCTCAAAAATAATACAAAAAAAGAATATTTAAAACAGTAATTTTTAAAATTATATTTTATATTTAATTAATACTATCTCATTATTATCAATATGTACCTGATTCACAGCAAAGTCGAAATCAAGTTCAAGATCCGGTCCAGAACATAAGTGTATATTACTTGGCGCAGAATCACTTAATTTAATGTCGCTTGCAGGTAAATTCAAATATAAAGACCATAATACTTGGGGTAATGGATACTCAGATTCTTCTTTCTCTTGTCGGTCATCCTAATATAATTATTCAATAAAAAAGAATGTTTACTTTTACACGATTCTAATATTTTTTACTTCTCATAAGAGATATAATTTTATATTAACAATTTTTATAAAGATCCCTGATACTTTACCTGAAGATGTCGTTTATCAGGAGAAACTGTTTGAGTATGAGAATCAGAAGAACTACGCACAGCATTGGGATCAAATGGTTCTGCTCTCAGGAACTTATTCACGACATATGCCAGATCCTCCTTTGCATTCTTAGTACGTTTGCATGTCATATGAACTATGACTAAAGAAAAAAAAGAAATGTGCGATACGAATATAAATCAAATCGATTCTGAAATATATTCCTATTGATGTTATACATACATAATCCTTGAGGGCAAGCATTAGTAGATGGTCCCAATTCAATTAGAGTAACGGCTTCTTGATCTGGTTTTTCCGGCGGATAATACAAAAGAGTTAGACTTTCTTTCTCACCTTGCATAATTGACCTATACAGCGAAAAATAATATATCCAATAAAATATATTGTACGCATATACATATCTTTTAAATTGTAAAATTTGCATGAAGAAAATACCTATCAGTAATGAAAATTCCGCGCGAAATTTGATTTTCTCCCTCAGAGGCTACGATTTCTGGTGGCAAGTGTCCTTGCCCTACGACTAAATGCTCCAAAGCCAATCTCTGTTTCCCACTAATAATGGCCTTGCACTTATCCTCGTTAACTACTACACCATCTAATTGTCTTTTTAAGCAATAAATTCCACCAAAAACTGCACATAGTCTAAAAGGTATGGAAAATATCAGTTTTAGATAAAATATAAAAAAAGTTTCGGAGTTTCGTGTTTTTAGGAATGCACCTGCAGAAACATTGAGGCAGTTCTCCGCTTCCGTACATAGGCCATAAGAAAGGCGTATTTCCATAACGTCCAAGACTATTGAGAAAATGCTTCGTACGATTAACACCGTTTCTACATGATGTTTTGTCCGTTGCCATTGCAATAGCTTGCATAACATAATGCTGTACTATAGGCGTAAGATTTTTCGTATTAAGATATTCTAAGAATGTTTTATCACGGAAACCTAAAAGATAAAAGGAACACATTATTATTATTAATAAAAAATTAAGTAAATAAGAAAAATTAAATAAGAAAATGTATTCTTATCCGATATATTTGCATGCGACACGCACCATCAAATTCTGGACTATCGGCGCCTTGTTCCATGCAAGATGTCAAAAGCTGCATCAACATTCTTTTCTCGATTACGCTAACCGTTTTGTTAGCGAATACATCGGCACGAGAGCAAGGGACTTGTGTAAGTTTACCGTCCATAAAAGTAGCAACTCTAGAGACTGCACGAAATTCGGCATAACGTGCAATGTTGCTGGAAATCAACAGTTCTACTAATTCACCACGGGCGAATAATAGCTGTAATAAGAATTACATACTATATACATATGTACATTATGAATAATGTAGTCTACAAATAAGTGACTATTTACAATCTTACTTTAGGCGCCAGATCGATATTAAATCTTCTGTATTCTTTCTTGATACGGTCTATGCTCCATTGTTTCACATTTTCTTTTTTATCAGCCTTGTCCTGATCAGTCTTTTCCGCACCTTCGAGGGCGGCACTATCTCCAGAACTCTCAGTCTGGGTATCTTTTGAAGATACGTCAGGCAGGTCTGCATCACTGCATAAAAAAGAGAACTAGTCAGAATACATAAGATATTACTAAAATTGTAAAAACGGTCAATTTATGCAGATCATTTCTTACTTGGAAATATACCAGATTTCTCCAATGTTCTCGACTGTGGAATATTGATCACTAGCCTTCAAAAATTTTTCGTTCGTTTTCAAATCGACATTTGTATTCTTAGTACTACTTTTAACTGTTTTTAAATCTTCTATCCATTTTTGTAAGCCATCAAAATTAAATGTAGCCCACAGTCCTCCATAATATTCATTGCTAAACAAAACAAGCAAAAATTTTAATTAATAATAATCATAATATGCATGAATAATATCTTGATTACAAATAATTTATCATATCAAATCAGAAAAGGTGAAAGAAATCTTTCTATCTTTCAACAAAAATGCATGATAAAAATTTAATCAAAATATACTTCTTTATCTTCTTACTTTTTCTTTA